CGGCTCCAGACTGCCCGCGACCGTATGGCTCCATACGGGCACAATACGGCTCCATACTGCCCGCGACCGTATGGCTCCATATGGGGACAATACAGCTCCATACTGCCCACAGTTGTATGGCTCCATACGGGGACAATACAGCTCCATACTGCCAACGACCGTATAGCTCCATGCTGGCACAATACAGCTCAATACTGCCCAGGACCGTATAGCTACATACCAGGGTCATATAGCCCCATACTGGGACCACATAGCCCCATAGTGCCCAGGACCACGTAGCTCCATACCCGAACCATATATCTCCATACTGCCCAGGACTGCATAGCTCCGTAGTGGGACCACATAGCTCCATACTGCCTGGGACTGTATCGCTCCATAATGGGACCGTATGGCTCCATAGTGCCCAGGACTGCATAGCTCCATACTGGGACCATACAGCTCCATACTGGGACCATATAGTTCCATACTGCCCGGGACCGTAGCGCTCCATAGTGCCCAGGACTGCATAGCCCCATATTGGGATCGATATGGCCCCATAGTGGCTGTGACCATATAGCTCCACACTGGGACCATGGACCTCCATACTGGGACCCATAGAGCTCCATACTGGGACCACAGAGCTCCATATTGGGACCATAGACCTCCACACTGGGACCATAGAGCTCCATACTGGGATCCATAGAGCTCCATAGTGGGCCCATAGAGCTCCATACTGGGCCCACAGAGCTCCATACTGGGCCCGTAGAGCTCCATACTGGGCCCTATACCTCCATACTGCCCAGGGCGGAGCGGGGTGGGGTAGCCCCTATGGCCCCGGGCAGTTCTCTCTCTTGCCCCCCCCAGGACCCCCAGGCTGGAGCCGGGGGGTGCAGCCCCCGCGGGGGGTCCCCGTGCCGGGCCCTACCTTCTCCGCAGAGCGTCCCCGTCCAGCCGGCCGGGCAGTGGCACGTCCCCTCGGCGGGGTGGCACGTCCCCCCGTGGTGGCACCGGCAGGGCTCCGCACAGGCGTCCCCCCAGGAGCCGGGAGTGCAGGGGCCACGGTAGCCCGGGGTGCAGGTGCAGGATCCGTCCCGGGGCGAGCAGGCGGCCCCGTTGCGGCAGGAGCAGGGCGTGCGGCAGCCCCGGCCCCAGAAGCCGTCGGGGCAGCTCTGCTTGCACTGCGGCCCTGCGAGGAGGATGAGGGATGAAGGCCAAGGGCAGCGGGGTCCCTCCCCTCCCTGGGCCCCCCCTTACCTGTCCAGCCGGGCAGGCAGCGGCACTCTCCCGTCACCGGATCGCAGCCGTCGGCATGGGCGCAGTCGCACCGCTGCCCGCAGCCCGCCCCGAACGTCCCATTCTGGGGTACGGGGACAGGTCGGGGGGTTCAGCGCCGGGGACGGTGGCACCGAACCCCGGTGCAGGCAGCACCGGCGCAGCCGGCAGGACTCACCGGGCAGGGCTGCAGGCAGCGGGGGCCCTGCCAGCCCGGTGGGCAGCTGCAGGTCCCAATTTGGGGGTCGCAGGCAGCTCCGTGGGCACAAACACAGCCCCCGTTGGCGCCGGGGCCCCCTGTGCCC